AAATGGAGAAGAATGTGCCTTGTTGCTCTAAAGCACTTAACAGAGAATGCTATCTTGCCCATTAACTAGGAGCTTAGTGCTTTTTTTTTTTTCCCTTGCATGTTTTTCTAATCAAGGACATACTTTCTCCCCTGAGGCACGTGGGAGTTTAGCAATTACTTGCAGCTCTAACACTAGGCAATTTCTACTGGGACTGCAATCTGTTAGAGTTCAATTTTCTCAACCACAGACAAAATGATCAGAATGAATTTGTTCCTTCAGAATGAAACCAAGTGAATAAACTAAATGTGATTGAAATGAACTTATGTGGCACTCATACATAAATCAACAGAATACCCCAGCACACATCCCAACTGTACCTGCTTATAGAATATGTTTTATATTACAGCAGCTGTTTGAAAGTTTTTCTCGGATGTTGCAAAGAATATTTTATAAATACTAATAAATTTCAATGTAAGTGTAATAATTATAATTATGCATAGATGTTGCCATGTCATCCAGTAAAGAGCTTGCAGTGCATTATACATCTTCCAACATACTAGATGTAAGAGTGTTTGTGGCTCTACGAGGTTAGCAATGCTAGGCAGTAATAAGTGTTTCTGTCTTTGCCATTGTACTAGTTCAAAACACAAGTGTATGCATGCTTTTTAAAATTCATGCTTATTTCAGGATGGAAGAGGTTAAGCTTTTTATATGTTTATTGAGAACTTTATAGTTTTTGTTTATTCATGCTCTATATGTTATTCAATTGGATTTTTAAATTTGTCTTTTTTTTCCTTGAATAAATCCATTCCCATGTAAGAAATTGAATCTCTTTTCATATGTGTTGCAGATTTTCCTCCAGATTTGATTATGACACAGACATACCACTCCAAGAAATCCATCCAACAAATACATATGAGTATATATATAAAGATATACTTCATTGCCACATTACTGGTAAAAAGAAGGACTGGAATTTAGATAAATTTAGTTAACAGAGTACTCATAGATAAATTATTCTGTGTCCAATTAAGACAATATGAAGTTATTAGAATGAAGTATATATATTTGTAATATTCAAAATACATTATGGGAGAAAGTCGATAATGAAGAGTGATTTGAATTGACAGGCATATTAGAATCGGGGATGAGAGTTTCACATTTCATTATATAATCTTCATGATTAGTTTATTACAGTGAATTTGCATTACATTTGTTATACCACCATTAACAACATCAATACAGTTGTCATTGTGGTTAGAATTATTCAAGTATAGAATCATTGCTTAACTTTTAGTAACAATGTTACATTTTTATTTTTTTAATTTAACTTAAAAAATTTCCAGTAATAAATATATACAAGTTTAGGAACATAGTGGTATTTTCCATCCTACCCTCCATCCCACCTGTGCTCTTACCCTACCTCTTCCTTCCTCTCTTATTCCTTCTCTTAATTTTTACAATGATCTAATTTAGCTTATACTCATCAGATTAACCATACACTAAGTAAAGAATTCAACAAATAGTAATCCACCTCAATGGTGGAAACTAGGGCTATAAACAATCTCAAAATGTGAATTTGACTCCAGTGCATTACTTTTTTGGTACCCTATTAGTTACCACAGACCATGGAAAACATGTGGTTCTTTGTCTTTTTGGGACTAGATTATTTCACTAAGTATAATGGTTTCCAGTTGAATCTATTTTGTTGCAAAAGAGAAGAGTTCAGTCTTTTTTACAGCTGAGTAGTATTTCATACTATGTATTCCATATATATATATATATGGGTATATATATATATATATTCCATATATATTTTTATACATACCACAATTTCTATATCCAGTCATCTGTTAGTGGACATCTGGGTTGATTCCATATCTTAGCTATTGTGAATTGAGCTACAATGTACATGGAACTACAAATAACCCTTTCATATGCTGATTTCATTTCTCTTGGGTAAATTCCCAGGAGTGGGATGAATGAGTCATATGATAGATCTATTTTCAGCTTTCTGAAGTCTCTCTATACTGTCTTGCACAATGGCTGTAATAGTTTACATTCCTATGAACAGTGGATTAGGTTACCTTTTCCCTTATATCCTTGCCAAAATTCATTGTTAATTTAGGTATGAGAGCCATTTTAATGGGTGAGGTGAAACATCATTGTGGCTTTGATTTGCATTGTCTTGATGGTTAGTGATCCTGAACATTTTTTTTTATGCTTCTATTGGCCATTTGGATTTCCTCTTTTGGAAAATGCCTGTTCAAGTCCTTTCCCTATTTTGAAATGGAGATGTTTGTTTTGTTATTGTTGAGTTTCTTGAGCTCTTAGAAATTCTGGATATTAATCCTTTATCAGTTGTCTAGTTTGCAAATATTTCCTGCCATTATGTCAGTTGCCCTTTCACTTTGCTGAGTGTATCCTTTGCAGTGCAGAAGCTTCTCAGATTGATGTAATCCTATTTGCATATTTTGACTTTGGTTACCTGTGCTTATGAGGTCTTTTCCAGGAAGTCTTTCCTATGCCAATGTCTTGCAGATTTTCCCCAATGTTATTCTTTAGTAATTTTCATGGTATCAGGTCATAGATTTAGATCCTTAATCCATTTTGAGTTGATTTTTGTATAAGGTGTAAGGTAGGGGTCTAGTTTGTATTTCTACATGCTGAGATCCAATTTTCTCAGAATCATTTGTTGAAGAGAATGTCCTTTTTCAGGAATTGATTTTAGCTCCTTTGTCAAAGATTAGTTGGTTGTAGATGCATGGATTATTTCTGGAGTTTCTATTCTGTTCCGTTGTTCCACGTATTTATTTTGGGGGCAGTACCAGGCTGTTTTGATTATAACTTCCCTGAAGCATGTCTTGAAATTCAGTCTGTGATGCCTCTGGCTTTGTTACTTTTCTTTAAGGTTGATTTTGCTATTCAGGGTCTCTTGTGTTTCCATATGAGTTTTAATCTTTTTTGTAGTTCTGAGAAGAAAAATGTTATTGGATTTTGATTGGATCACCTTGAATCTGTAAATTACTTTCAGTAGTATGGATATCTTAAAGATATTAATTCTTGCAATCCATGAACATGGAAGATTTTTCCAATTTGTTATATATTCTATTCCTTTCTTTACTGTTTTATAATTTTCTTTGTAGAGATCTTTGACTTTATTGGTTAAATATATTACAGGGTGTATAATTTTTATAGCCTTTGTGAATGGAACTGATCTTGCAAGTTCTTTCTCAGCCATGACATTTTCTGTGTACAAAGTCTATTGATTTTCATTTGCTTATTTTATATCCCACAAATTTATCAAACTCTTTTATGAGTCTCTTAGTATAGTCTTTTGGGTTCCCCTATTTAAAGAATCATATCATATGCAAATAGAGATAATTTTACTTCCTACTTTCCAATTTCCATTCCTTTGATTTTCTTGCCTAGTGGCTCTGGCTAAAATATCCAGGACTATTTGAAAAGCAATGGTGAAATTATAGATCCATGTCTGGTTCCAGATCTTAGGGGAAATACTTCCGGCTTTTCCCCGTTCAATAAGATGCTGGCTGTGGGTTTGTCATGAGTTGCTTTTAATGAGTTGTGCAGTGTTCCTTCTAGTTCCAGTTTGTTTAACGTTTTTATCATGAAAGGATGTTGTATGTTAACAAATACTTTCTCTGAATCTATTGAGATAATCATATGGTCTTTATTCTATAATTTTTTAATGTGATGTATCATACTATTTGATTTATAAATTTGAAACATCTCTGCATACCAGAAATAAATCCCACTTGGTCTGGGTATATGATCTTTCTGAAGTACTTTTGGATTCAGTTAGCTAGTATTTTGTTGAGGATTTATGGGACTATATTCATCAGGTATATTAGTCAATATTGGTTGTATATTTTTCTGATTTTTGAATTAAGGTGATTCTGACCTCATAGAAGGAGTTTGTGGGGATTCTCTCCCTTTCAATTGTTTTGAATAGCTTTAGCAATATTGGAATTATTTCTTTAAAAGTCTAGTAGAGGGGCTGGCTCTGTGGCGTAGTGGGTTAAACTGCCGCCTGCAGTGCTGGCATCTCATATGGGTGCTGGTTTGATACCTGGCTCTTCTACTTCCAATCCAGCTCTCTACTATGACCTGGGAAAGCAGTAGAAGATGGCCCAAATCCTTGGGCCCCTACACCCTCATAGGAGATCCAGAGGAAGCTCCTGGCTCCCAGCTTTGGATCGGTGCAGCTCTAACCATTGTGGCCAATTGAGGAGTGAAGCAGCAAATAGAAGACCTCCCTATCTCTCTGCCTCTACCTTTCCTTCTCTCTTTGTGTAACTCTGACTTTTAAATAAATAAATAAATCATTTTTTAAAAAAATGTCTAGTAGAGCCGGCGCCGTGGCTCAATAGGCTAATCCTCCACCTTGCGGCGCCGGCACACCGGGTTCTAGTCCCGGTCGGGGCGCCGGATTCTGTCCCGGTTGCCCCTCTTCCAGGCCAGCTCTCTGCTATGGCCAGGGAGTGCAGTGGAGGATGGCCCAGGTGCTTGGGCCCTGCACCCCATGGGAGACCAGGAAAAAGCACCTGGCTCCTGGCTCCTGCCAGGATCAGCGCGGTGCGCCGGCTGCAGCGGCGGCCATTGGAGGGTGAACCAACGGCAAAGGAAGACCTTTCTCTCTGTCTCTCTCTCTCACTGTCCACTCTGCCTGTCAAAGTCCGAAACGAATGTCTAGTAGAATTCGGTCATGAAGAGGTCAGGTACTGGGGCTTTTCTTTGTTGGGAGGGCCTTTATTACTAACTCATTCTCAGTTTTGGTTATTGGTCTGTTTAGGTTTTCTATATCTTCTTAATTTTGATGTGTCCAGGAATCTATTTATTCTAGATTTTCCAATTTGTTGATATATAACTGCTTATAATAATTCCTGATGATTCTTTTTGTTTTGATATCCATGTTATACCTCCCTTTTGATTTTCTTGATTTGGGTCTTCTGCTTTTTTTTTTTTTTCTTAGTGATCCAATGCTATATCAATTTTGTTTATTTTTTCAAAAAAAAACTTCATTCCACTGAGTTTGCATTGTTTTTTGGTTTCAATTTTTTAATTCTCTAATTATAATTATTTCTCCTGCTAATTTTGACTTTGGGTTGTTGTTGTTTACTATGTGCTTGAGATGAATTTATAGCTCATTTATTTGCCTTTCCAGTTTCCTGATATAGACATTATTTACTGCAAGTTTCCCTCTTAACACTGCTGTTGCTACATCCCATAATTTTTGATATATTGTCATCTTGATTCATTCTCAGAAATTATTTGATTTCCATTTTGAGTTCTTCTATGACCCACTATTTATTCAGGACCATGTTGTTCAGTCTCCATGTATTTGCATATGTTCCAGAGATTCTTGAGTTTTTAATTTCCAGCTTCATTCTATTGTGGTCAGAAAAGAAGCAAGGTATAATATAAATTTTTTTTTCAATTTGCTGATACTTGGTTTATGACTTAGCATATGTGCTATTGTAGAGAGTTCCATGCGCTGATGAAAACAATGTTTATTCTGCAATCGTGGGATAAAAGATTCTGTAGATATCAGTTAGGTCCATTTGATCCATACTGTCAATTAGCTCTGTTGTTTCTTTGTTGATTTTCTATGTAGTTAATTTGCCAATGAATGAAAGCAGAGTGTTGGCATCCCCCATGACTATTATATTGGAGTCTGTTTCTCCCTTTAGATTTTTTTTTTTTTTTGCAGTTTTACAACTTTTATCAGTTCTCATCCACACTGACTATCTGTAGATTTTTGAAAGTAGTGGCAGGTACATAGGTAACCAAAGTATAGAGCTTGTTTGGTGAATCTTCATCCTCATTACGTTTTCTCGACAACCTCATGTGGATGCAGTATGGGACGTGCCTTATTCCTCTGGCCCAGAAGGATTTGTTGAGCCTGGTATCAATGTGCACATCTGGAGTCCCCATTTCTTTCATGGCAAACTTCTGGATCTCTTTGAGTGCCCGAGGGGCACGCTTCTTGAAGCCCACGCTGTGGATGCGCTTGTGAATGTTGATGGTATACTCGCGGGTCACCACTTCGTTGATGACAGAACAGCCCTTCTTCTCGCCACCCTTCTTAGCCGGAGCCATCTTGTAGGGCCCAAGCTGGAAAGGCCCCTTTAGATCTTTTAATATTTGTTTTAAAAGCCAGGTGCCCTGGCACTGGGTGCATGTATTCACTATTTATTATAGTCATATCTTCCTTTTGAATTGATCCCTTTATCATTACATACTACCCTTGTGTCTCTTAACCTGTGTTTTGGTGAAGTCTATTTTGTCTGATATTAGAATGACCAAAGCCTCTCATTTTTGCTTTGCATTAGCTTGCAATAACTTTTTCCATCTCTCTCTTTAATTCTTTGTGTCTCTTTGTTGATGAGGTGTGTTTTTTATAGGTAGAAAATAGATGGGTCTTGTTTTCTAATCTATTCCCCCAGTCTGTATCTGTTAAATGGAGAACTTATGTCATTTACATTCATAGTTACTGTTGATAAATAATGATTAGGACCAATTATTTTTCCATAAATATTTCTATTGTTTGTTGTGTATTCCCCTTGTACTTTTACTGGGAGATTTTCTGCCTTCATATTCTTTCATAATTATGAACTCTCTTTCTGTGCTTCTGGGTGTAACACATGCTTAAGTATCATTTGTAAGGCTGGATGAGTAACTGACAAATTCTTTCAATTTCTGTTTATTATGAGAGGTTTTATTTCTCCTTAATTGATAAATGAGAGCTTTGCAGGGTACAGTATTCTGGGTTGACAGTTTTATGTTTTCTTTTTAGGACTTGGACTATGTCTCTCCATTCTCTCCTTTCCTGTAGGGTTTCTGAATAGAAGTCAGCCTTGAGTCTAATTGGAGATTCTCTGAAAGTAATCTGGCATTTCTCTTGTGAACACCTTAGAATCTTTGTTTTACTGTTGAAAGAATGACTACAATGTGTCATGGTGAAGATCTTTTCTGATCATGTCTATTAGGAGTTGTGTGTTTCTTATGTATTTGGTTGCCCATTTCGTTCTCCATATTAGAGCAATTTTCTTTAGTTATTTCACTGAATAGCACTTCTAATCCATTCCTTATTTACACACCTTCAGAATAACCTAAGGCATCTACGTTGAGACCTTTATACTATCTCATAAACTTGCAACGCTGTTTTTATTTTTTATAACTTCTTCTTTTTTTTTTTTTTTGTCTGAGATATTTCCAAAGATTTGTCTTCTAGCTTGGATTTTCTTTCTTCTGCATCACTAAGTCTGTTTTTAAGACCTTCCACTATATTTTTATTTAACATTGATTTCATCATTTCTAACATGTCAGTTTGATTTCTCTTCAAATTCTAAATTGGGAAAATTTTTCCTCCATGTCATATATGGATTTCTGGTTTTTTTTTAAAGATTATTTTATTTATTTACTTGAAAGCCAGAGTTACACAGAGAGAGAAGGAGAGGCAGAGAAAGAAAGAGAGAGAGAGAGAGAGAGAGGTCTTTCATCTGCTGGTTCACTCCCCAGTTGGCCAAAAGGGCTGGAGCTATGCTAATACAAAGCCAGGAACCAGGAGATTCTTCCGGGTCTCCCATGTGGGTGCTGTCGCCCAAGGACTTGAGCCATCTTGTACTGCTTTCCCAGGCCTTAGCATAGAGCTGGATCAGAAGTGGAGCAGCAGGGACTTGAACCAGAGCCCATATGGGATGCTGGCACTGCAGGTGGCAGCTTTGCCTGTTACACTACAGCACCAGCCCCATTTAGATTTCTTAAATGTGAATTTGCTTCTCATTGCTTCTGAGTGACCCTATGATCAATCTTTTGAATTACTTTTCAGCCATTTCCTCAATTTCTTCATCTTCATATTCTAATATTAAAGTATTGTAGTATTCATTTGGGGGAGTCATATTATCTTCCTCATTCTTGTTTCTCTAATTTCTGGATTTATTTTTAAGCATTTGTCCAAGTAATTGTTGATTTTCTCCTAAGGATTTTTTAACTATGCTCCTGTGACTTAGCAGAGTGTCTGCTGTTTTAAGAATACCCATAGGTATGTATTGGTTGTGGCCAGGGAGCTCTGGTAGTGTTCCAACTTTGGGCCAGTATCCAGGATGACACCCAATTTGGGCTTGGAAGATCTCTTCTGTGATCAGCATAGGGGAGTGCATGATCACCTCTTTTGGCATAATCACATCCTCACTTCCTGTCTTCCAAGGTGATCAGTGTCCAGGGTTAGCCCACAGTGGGTACAACACTTACCTGTGCTGTCTCATGAACTGCACAAAAGCTCTGTGCAGTTCTTCTGTGGATGCGTCCCACTTCAGTACACACCCTGAACAGTCAGAGAGGTCTGAGCCTCTGGGGCTGGACACAGTGATTGCCCAGAGACCCAGCTACACCCTCTCCCCTATTGTATATTCACAGAATTCCCACAGTTATAGCACCCAAGGCTCCCATAGTCATGGTGTTCAGAGGATCCACACCGCACCACTAGCTTGTGCCATCCTTGGGAGCAGATGTTCACAGAGTCAGATGCTTGTGGGTGCTCCAAATTGGCAGTTTGAGCCTCAGAGCCTGTAATGTATTGAGAGACCGGGGCATCTCACAGTCCTAGGTGGGTGCCCAGCCTTATATCAACCCTCCCAGGCAGACTCAAAATCAATGGGAAACATGAATTTTTCCCTCTGGCAAAATCCATGGATTACATGCAGCACAAAGACTCCAGAACAGCTACTGGTGTCACAATGGCAGCTTTCCTGCCAGTTTCCGGGCGCCCTTGTGAGGGGTTGGGGAGAAAGAAAGATACTTTTCTTTTTACTGGGTTAGGTGGGTGCCTTGACCCTGTCAGGTCTCCAGGCTAGACTCAAAGACGGTGTGGTCTGCAGCCTCTTCTTCCAGCAGTATCACCAGTTGTGTGGGCTGCGGCATTCAAAGCTGTGTATTCTCTGGCTCTTGGCTGTGGGGATCATGTATTTTGTCTGCACTAGTTGCTGTGCATCCACACCTTCCATGATGACCCACTGAATCTCTCTTCCTTCTGTGGAATTTCACTGCAGATTTCTCTCCAACTCACCCCTGGAAATGCACTTCCTCCACTTTTTTTTTTTTCCTGCTGTTTTCCATTCCTGTAAGCAGTGTGTTTTCCCTATTTAGCTGCGTTGAAATCTCCAGGTTGCACTTAACAATAAGTTTATATATAGATTTCTGTTATCCTAAGGAAAAGATATGGGTGAGAAATACATTCTAAAAGTTATAGGTGATGCAAAACAACTTTTGTAACCAATGGTGGATAAATTTTTGTCCTGAGGTTTTTTTTTTTTTTTTTCATTTTAAAGAATTGTTAATTTTGAAAGTGTAACTGAGATAGATCTTCCATCTATTGGTTCACTCCTCAGATGGTCACAATGGCCAGGGCTGGGCCAGGCCAAAGCCAGGAATCTGTTTTATCTGGGGTTCTCCACATGAGAGGCAGCGTCAAGCACCTTGACCCTCTTCTGCTGCTTTTCCCAGGTGACGAGCATGGAGCTGGATTGGAATGAGCAGTTAGGGCACAGATCAGTGCCTATATGTGATGCATCTCAGGCAGCAGCTTTACCAAGTATGCCCCAAATTCAAGCCCATTGTACTGATTTTTACTGTTAGAATTGTATTAAAATAATTATATTTTGGGAATCTACTAGGTAATAGATATACAAAACAGGTAAGCCCATACTTTCCCTCATTGAATTGGCTGTACTTTTCATAAATCTCTTGATTTCTTTCTTTTTTTTTTTTTTTGACAGGCAGAGTGGACAGTGAGAGAGAGAGACAGAGGTCTTCCTTTTGCCGTTGGTTCACCCTCCAATGACCGCCGCGACCAGCGCGCTGCGGCCGGCGCACCGCGCTAATCCAATGGCAGGAGCCAGGTACTTATCCTGGTCTCCCATGGTGTGCAGGGCCCAAGCACTTGGGCCATCCTCCACTGCACTCCCTGGCCACAGCAGGGAGTGGAAGAGGGGCAACTGGGACAGAATCCAGCACCCGACCGGGACTAGAACCCAGTGTGCCGGCGCCGCAGGCAGAGGATTAGCCTAGTGAGCCGCGGCACCGGCTCATTCTTTCTTAAAACATTTTTCATTGCAGTCTCAGATCCTGCCAAGTAGTTTGTTAATGATAAATAGTACATTGAATGGTTAAATCCCAAATTTTCAATTCCATGAATATTTTAGTGGCAAAATATTTATTTCAAAATTCTATAAGAGGTACATTTTGGGTTTTTTTAAGGTTTTATACATGTCTTAAATATAGCATGATGAAACATAATAGTTAAGGTGAAATCAAATTTTATATTATTCAATATAAGCTAATTCCTCTCTATGGCTAGGTTTTACACCTGTTAAAATATAAAATTAACATGAAAACATACATCAGTTTCTCATTCCATAAAAAGTTCTGTGAAACATTGGAACTATATTTACAATTGCTAATAAGCATATGCCTGTATTCAGAATTAAATTTAGAAATCTGAAATCCATATTGAAACATCCACTGAAAATTATTTTTCAGTGTTCTACTTGCCATTTTGGGCATGCTTACCTTCAAAACTATATAGTATTTATGTGCTGACTGTGCACTAAATATGGTGAATTGGAAAAACAGCATTAGTAGCAGAAGTTGCTTGGATTTCAAGTCATCTTTCTTCTTTAAATTTCCACTTTCCTGGTTATAGAACTCACCATGAAGGCTCCAAAACATGATTTTGTCTCCAGTCTGAGGGTGAATCAATCTTTAATGTTTGAGTTCATGCTAACCTCATACAAATTATATATATATCAGCCTGTCTGTGTGTTCATTCATAATAAAATCTCTTATTAAATAAAATGAACCAGAGTATACCTGCATTCACAGCAGCTGTCAGATAAATGGAAAAGCACATAATAATTCTTTCTTTGTTTGTCTCACTAGACTGTAGGTGTTTTAGAAGATCATTTCATATTCATATTTTATTTCAAGTAACTAGCACAGTAGTCAATAAATATATGAGCATCTGATGAATGTGTGAGATGTGTGAGTTATTTTAGACGGGATTATCCTAAACCATTATTTATAATTAAAGAAAAATCTAACTGAGTGGTCAGAGCACAATTCAGGTAAGATTTCCAAATAAGTATACTGGGAAGAAGGGGGAATCTCATATTCCACCAAATTTGAAAATACCATGTCTTTCAAGGTAGTTGTCATAGACACTAGTCTTTTAAAATCATGTTCTAGCATTTGTACTTTTTTATGATTCATGACATGTATGTCTTTAATCTCATCGATGGCAACTTCTGAAATGGTTATTACAGAGATTATTACTGTTGACCTCATAATGAAACCTAAACATTAAAAGATATGCTAGAATATTGTGTAGAACATAAATACAGTATATGTACATGAAGAGAATCATATACATCACAGAAATTTTAAGTATCGTGATGTACATTTTATTCATCATGAGTAATAGGGCCTTTCTAATGTCTCTAATGTTTTTATTCATGTAAGTATGATAATGAAGTTTCAAAATAAATTATTGACATCTTGAAAACAGAACACAGAAATAATCCTGTAATTCGATATATCACATAACAGAAAAATAGTGCTTGTAGTTGTATAACAAATAAGGTGTATCTTTTCCTATTGCTTCCTGAAGTCTTGGGTTTAAACAACTTTAACTTCAGAGCTACTGAAAAAAGAAATGAAAGGAACCACAATATAGTAACTTTAAATTCATAAATTACATATAATGTCATCATACATATGTAATCATTACATATATGTAATGTAATTACATATAATGTATCAGATGCAGCATACCAAAATCATTCTGACTCAAGTGCATGGTTATTGATTTATGTTCAGAGCATTGTAACAGCAAATATAACATTTCTTCTATACAAAGAAAATTAGACAGGCTAATTGGTATTTTTTCTCTGAACCGTTGTTTAATCGAAGGATAAATTATTTGAAAAATTCATTTTTTAAAATGCAGTCTTGCCTGAGAAACTATGTGACCATATGGTTAGGATTTATTCTCTCTGTGTCTATTATACTACATTGAACACAAAACAATTACACATTATACTGAAGCTCAGCCAGTAAGGAAGAAATTCGTAGGATCTGCGATTCCCTCTGATCCAACAATTCAGTAGGTCTAGGACCCGGAGAAAGTCACTCAAGCACTCTTCGTGCTATTCTATTTGCAAAACAAAGGTGCTTAAATATATCTAAATTCTCATAATTATATAAGATAATCTATGAAGGTACTTTGTAAATTACCAGGCATTATATAATTGCCAATTACTTTATATAACTCAGCCATCTAGATGTTATTAAAAGTGAATTAGCAATATTTACATATAGCATATTTATATGAATTTAAATTCATCTAGTCATTCATCCAATATTGTTTACAGATCAGCTACTGTGTGTCAAATGATCTTTAAACACAGTAGGAATTTGGCCAAACCCTCTTCTTTATGGAGCCCATGTTTTAGGAGGGGAGACAGATATTAACAAGGGAAAAAAAATAAATAAAATTTCACCATGAAGGGATAGCGAAAGATAGCAAGAGAGAAGACCTGTCTGAACTAATGACAGTTATCAGTATGCTGAAAGAAGTGCAAAAGGGACAAGGATTGCAAACACTGTGTCTTGAAAAGTAGGTCCTGGCTTCTCTTTAGATGGCAGACCCAAATTAGTCAGTTCATCAGGGCTGTTAAAACAAAGACTATGTGACTTACAAACAGCAGAAATTTATTTCTGTCTGTTCTGGTAACTAAGTCCAAGATTCAGTTGCCTGTAGATTCAGTATCTGATGAAGGCCCACTTCCTGTTTCATGAAACGGAATATTACTTTCCAGCTGTGTGCTTAAATGGTAGAAGGAGCTAGCTAGCCCTCAGACCTCTCATTTATATGGTCTCTCCCTTCATAAGTTAATCACCTCCCAAAGCCTTTACCTCCTATTACCATCACGCCATGGATAAAATTTTAATATGATTTGCAGGAGAACACAGTCATTCAGACTATAGCAAACCCTGAAGAAGGAATCATATTGTTATATTTCAAAAAACATGCAAAGGCCATAAAGTAGGACCTTGTAGGTCATGATTAAATGTTTTCATTTGAAGCCAACTATAATTGGAAATCATCAGAATATTTGAAACAAGGAGCATGATCTGCTTTTCAGCTTAAAGATGATACTTGCTATGGTGTACATAAAAGTTTCAAGAGGAGCAAAAGAGTAAAGACAGTAGTTTGGAGGATATTGCCATGGCTGGTGCCATGGCTCACTTGGTTAATCCTCCACCCGCAGCACTGGCATCCCTATGGGCGCCGGTTCTAGTCCCGGCTGCTCCTCTTCCAGTCCAGCGCTCTGCTATGGCCCAGGAAGGCAGTGGAGGATGGCCCAAGTGCTTGGGCCCCGGCAACCCACATGGGAGACCTGGAAGCAGCACCTGGCTCCTGGATTTGGATCGCAGCAGTTTCTGCCGTAGCGGTCATTTTGGGGGTGAACCAACGGGAGGAAGACCTTTCTCTCTGTCTCTCTATCTCTGTCTATAACTCTACCTGTCAAATAAAAAAGATAGCTAGGTGGTTGGATGGTGCAACCAGAACTGCACACAGTATGCAGGAGTACTTAGTTAAGCTGAAAAAGAAAGCATAAGTCTTGGGCTTTTGACTGCAGCACTTGGGAGGGTTGTGGTGTCATTTGCTGAAATGAGTACACTAAAGGGAGGATCTACTTGTATTCTTTGTTCCTTCTTAAGTGTGAGGTGCAAATCAAGATTCTGCTGAGTGTTTTAGATTTTCAATATATTTTAGATTTTCAATAGAGGTATTCAAATAGAGACAGAAAGTTGATTGAAGTATATTTAAGCAAGTCTGTATATTAGAGTGAATTAAGAACTAGGAATCTACATTTAAGACTCATTAGCATATATTAGTTATTTAAAGCCATTTCATTTGATGTTATTTCCCAGGAAAAGAAAGAAAGAAGACAGATATCCAACACTAGAGACCTTTTGTATTCTTTTGAACACTAGAGAACTTCTGTTGAACAGTATTAATCATTTCTTAACTAACCTGAATAAATTAATAAATATATTAGTATTACACTTCTCCTATTTAATCTTTTAACTTTTTATCCACATGTACCTCAGTTATTTAATATCAATAAATGGCCGGCGCCGCGGCTCACTAGGCTAATCCTCCGCCTGGCGGCGCCGGCACACCGGGTTCTAATCCCGGTTGGGGCGCCAGATCCTGTCCCGGTTGCCCCTCTTCCAGGCCAGCTCTCTGCTGTGGCCAGGGAGTGCAGTGGAGGATGGCCCAGGTGCTTGGGCCCTGCACCCCATGGGAGACCAGGAAAAGCACCTGGCTCCTGGCTCCTGCCATCGGATCAGCGCGGTGCGCAGGCCGCAGCGCGCCGGCCGCGGCGGCCATTGGAGGGTGAACCAACGGCAAAAGGAAGACCTTTCTCTCTGTCTCTCTCTCTCACTGTCCACTCTGCCTGTCAAAAAAAAAAAAAATCAATAAATGAATTTTATGTGAAATCCACTAACTGTTATGCCACAGTATATTTATAAAAGAGTATTTAGGAATAGTTAACAATGCTTTTTATTTTATCCCTTTAAGAAGAATGGTATTCGTATTTCAATATTGCTTCATAAATTTTCCACAAATGAAAGCTAGTCATGTCTCTAAAGAATCTCAAAGGGTTATACATTTTTACAAAGGCTTATATTATCAATGATTTAAAGAAATGTTCTTTGGAATGGCATAGAATTAGGAGGCTATGACCTTATTCTCTGATTTCACAATTAAACAAAAGAGTAAATCTACCAAGCATTTTTTTGAATAATCATTTTGTACATAGTTTTTAGTCACTGAATGTGATTTTACAATGGAAGAGAAAGATTCAGTTAATACTAACTCCCAACTTGGGAATTGACAGTTTCATAATCAACATGACATTGGTGATAGAACAAGAAATATGACTGGAATATCTGCAACTGTAGAGGGATCCAGTTAGTACAAAATAAAGTAATTGTTTTCATTCAATTCTATAAAGTTCTTACATAAAGTTCTTTAAGTGTTTTCTAAAATGAGAATTTAATTGTTAGTTAGGAAACTTGTATATGTAGGAAATTTTTAAGGAGAAAAAAACCATTTTATCAAATGCTGTTCATTTCTCCACTCTGTGCTAAACCTCCACATCTTCATTGTGGTTAGTCCTTTCACTATTGTGCACTTGACACCTATAAACAGACAAAATCTAGAAACTTTATTCTGTTGAAAATTTTCTGACATTTGATCTCCATCACTTTTCCTCTTACCTTTTAGTTATCTTTTTAATCTCTTTCCAATGCCCCATATTTTTTGTATCTAACCCTTAAAATTTATGCTGCTAAAAGTTCTGTTTTTAAACCTCAATCTCTTATAAACCTATAGTTTTAAATATCATATAGATTCCTTTAGGCTTGCTACACTGTTACCATGTTTCCTTTGTTCTCAGTTGGGTTCATATTCTTTTAATATACACATAGAAGATGTTTGGCAGACTGTCTCATGGTCACTATGTCAACACAGAGAAGTCAAGATGGATCATGCCCTTTTTTTAATCTCCTAAACTATATTTCTATGCTTCATGCCAAGGGGTTATTAATGGAAAAATTCATCCAAGAAATTCTCTAAAAAGAGAGATAATTATTGATTTTTCTTGATTATCACTATGCCTTTTAACTTGACTAACAATCTCTAATTCAGATATAATATTAATATTTCCTTGAAATCCAAAGCCAGCATATATTGTTAAAGGATATAATTTTCTAATGTTTCCACCATGCATGTAGAGTGTGGAATGTGGTTGCTGATTAAGGTTCTTCAATACCCTCTTATTAATTTCAGAGTAAAATTTAACAATATTGGCAGGATATAAATATACTCCATAAACCAACTCCAAGCTCATTATTTCAAACTCATTGCTGTTTACTTCCCTTTTCTTCTACTTCATACTTATATCAAGCTGCAAACTTAAAATCCTTCCAAATATTCTGCACTGTTACATCTTTACAGCTTTGTACATGCTTTTTTCTCCTTTTGGGGAGTTGTTTCACCTGGGTGATTTTATTTCTTTTTTATAATATATTTATTTATTTGAAAGGCAGAATTTCAGAGAGAGACACAGAGAAAGAAAGAAAGAGAGAAAGATCTTCCATTTGCTGGTTCACTTCCCAAATGGCCACAATGGCCGGGGCTAGGCTAATCCGAAGCCATGAGCTAGGAGCTGCTTCTGGGTCTCTTACTTGGATGCAGGGGCCCAAGGACTTGAACCATCTTCCGTTGCTTTCCCAAGCACTCTAGCAGGGAGCTGGTTGAGAAGTGGAACAGCTGGGCCTAGAACTGGTGTCCATATAGGATGCCAGTGTCACAGACAGCAACTTTACTTGCTACATCACAATGCTAGCCACTGGATAAATTTTTCTAAGACTAAACTTGATTCTAATATCTTATAGGAATTAATCTTTCTACCACATCCAGGTTGATTTAGTGGCCCTGTCTTTGCTGCCATCGGAGCTACAGATCTCTTTATGATACTTGCTATCACTGTCTGTCCATTTGTTAGTTTCTTTACGTTCACCTATGGACTCCATTGCAAGAGATTTTATAAATTTTCCCCATCTCTGTAATTATTAAGTGCATAGCATTAGCAAAAAAAATTTCATAGAGAAGGAAAATTGAGCCAATAATCTGTTTTGATGTTGAAAATATGGGTATACTTTGAAATGTATACCATTATATAGCTTTTGTGGCCTATCCAGTATAGGAATTTAGTTCGAGACTTATGGAGGGAATGGAGAGGAAGTGATGAGAAAGTTTGGACCCAAATAAGTAGCCTAGGACTCAGTGTGGGTATCCACTTCAAATGAAGTGAAAATACATAACGCTAAGCTGAATTCCGGGTAGAACATGAGATGTAGAGCTTCGTTTACAGAGTTGCAATATTTTTATTTGTGTGAATGATGTGTTTCAGATTTAATGATATATTAGAAATCATGTTATATTATGTTTCTCAGTGCTGGTTGCAGATTAAGCACGAACACGCAAAACATTTCATGAACATTTCAAGACTACCAGTGAAGAAGTTCATTTCAAAGCAATTTTCCTCTAGGGTGGAGTACAGTGATTCATATATACAGTCAGGGTTTAGAACCACTGGTCTGGGACGGCAACCTCATTTTACAGTTGAGAAAACTGAGAACCTTGACATAGAATCTTTAAAAGCCCTGGTCATCTGGTTCCCTGACCCAGAGTCATTGAAAGGAATCAGAGCAGAAGGCTGTTAGAAGCGAACAGGATGATTGCAGACATGACAGCTGACAGCTTGACAGGTGCTGCATCACCACAGGGTGTGATAATGGATGTTCATGATGGAGGCCAGGAATTGTCAAGATAAGAGTAAATTCCCTTGAGTGACCTCGTTTTAAGAAGACAGGGAAGTGTTAATAGTCTTCCAGAAGATTTCTATCAAAAAATGATTAAAATAAATGCTTCGATGAGGCCCAAAAGGCCATTTTCACTTTTGGAACACCAGTAGATGCATTCCCTTTTGTCGGGGATCATATTTTGTGCAGTAGGAAGAGACCTAGACAATCATTCAAAACTTGCATTCATTTTTGACTGTTGCCTTTATTTGCAGCACAGTCTCGAGGATATGACATAATGAATGCTTCTGAGTCATCTTCGTTCTTTCACATAAGGACAGGAAAAATAGCAAATGCTTAGTGGGTTGTAATGAAGATAAAAGAGGTAAAGTATGCTTGAGTACATATTTATATATGTAAGGAGCCTAGACAAGAACAAGTGAAAAGTATACCATTCAACTAATCTGAATTAAACAAGAAATTCGGTAACATTCAGCATCATATTCAACTTTAAATGTTAATGCTACTTAATAATGTTAATATCTTTTTATTGTATATATTTCTGCAGATGAACATTTTTATATGATTTTAGTAAATTATTAGAGCAGCGCTATATTTAGCCTTAAAAATCCGTTTTCAAGTTTTGAAACATGCACATGTGGGGCCAGCGCCATGGCTACTCCTCCACATGCGGAGCTGGCATCCCATATGGGCACCAGGTTCTAGTTCCGGTTGTTCCTCTTCCAGTCCAGCTCTCTACCTGTCAAATAAAAAAAATGCACAAGTGATGAATCTGCAGATAAGCAGAATATGCTCATTAGAAATCTGGAACAATCTTCAATCTTGGACTCAAGTCCCTGGTGAAGAGTGAAGAAAAATCTTGAAAGTTATAAGAAGATGTAAAATTCAATAATATAAAAATATTAGGCTGGTGCTGCAGCTCACTTGGCTAATCCTCTGCCTGCAGCGCCGGCACCCTGGGTTCTAGTCCTGGTTGAGGCTCCTGATTCTGTCCAGGTTGCTCCTCTTCCAGTAGAGCTCTCTGCTGTGGCCCGGGGAGTGCAGTGGAGGATGGCCCAGGTCCTTGAGCCCTGCACCCACATGGGAGACCAGAAGGAAGCACCTGGCTCCTGGCTTCAGATCAGCGCAGCAGGCTGGCCGCAACACGCAGGTTGTAGCGGCCACTTGGGGGATGAACCAACGGAAAAAGGAAGACCTTTCTCTTTGTCTCTCTCTCGCTTGCTGTCTAGCTCTGCCTGTCCAAAAAAAAAAAATCAGGCTTATTTAAAAGAACATATTTTTGTCTTTAAAAATAATTTAAAAAAAATCTCACAGATGTTTTTAGTCATGCAAATATTTAGCATTTTATACATAATCTACCTAAGTTTTTACAGCACTATTTTTGTTGTTGTAGTGGCTGTATCTCAAAATTTACATTTTGTGTCATATTAACTATATAAACATTGATTTTTGAGTTTTTTTTTAAAAAAGTCCATAAAGGCAAGGAGATACAATGTTTTATTCTTTAGTGACAATGCTGTAAACTATCTTACAAAATATTTTAAGTTCAAAACTGCAACCAGGGCAGATATTTACAAAGTGCTTGCTTTGTGTTTGAGTTCTGGGATCCCGGTTTTGGTTTGATCTAGCACTGACTATTGTGGGCAGAAGACTACCCCTCTCTGTTTTTCAAACAAAATAGGTACAAATTAAATACAAAACTGCTAACAAACAGTTGAAATACCTTACCCCAAGGCTGTTAATAAATATGGGAGTTGAAGAGTAGTTTCCTTTATTCTTAACCTCTCTTATTGAACTTCCACTTAGAATGAATACAAATGTTACATTGAAATTAAAAATCCATGTACAATGTTCAATTGCATGTACAGAGTCACTTAAATGAAGAGCAACCTATCGATGGAATAACATAATCTTATTCCTTTCAGACAAAATGTTCAGTTTAATTAAATAGCTCAAATCCATAAATCTAAAATAGTTAAGTATCCAATTAGTGTAAGATAACTTTTCTTCTTTTGCCTGCTAATGCTTTTAAGTAATTTTCACTTTTCTGATTGAGATAAGGTATATAATTATGAAATTACTGTGCTATTGAAAATTGATCAAGGCAGACATTAAAGTTCACCTAAAGGAAGTTTATCTGCATCTCTTAATTCATGCGTAGCAAAATTGTATCCGTGTGGTTGTGTGTGTATGTTTAATTATGTTTTTGCAAGAATGAGAAAATTATGCATGGAAGGTACTTTCTGATTATGCTAATAAACCAAATAACTTTATGACTGACTTTGTGGCAGTCCCTATATTAAATATTTTATATAGGTGAATTCAAAACAACTCTATGGAATGTCTTTATTTTACAGCTAAATAAACTGAGGTGCAGATCTGCCCCAAGTCATAGGATAATAATCAGCAAAACTGTGGTTTGTACAAGCAGTCTGTTTCTATAGTCTAATCACCATAGCCACTGCAATACTACCTTGAAAATATGAATGTATTCTCTCAAATTGGGTATGCTTTCATTTTAGCACTGAAATTTAAATTCAAGCAACCACTATGTGATAAATTCCACATTTTTATATATTTTGAAATACATTAAATTTACATGCATTTTATAGAAAATAAAATGGCCAATCAATCTATTATATCCTTCAGGTCTCTAAGATAGCTTTATAACAACATGTGAACAAAAATATAGAGTAGAAATAACACTAGAAACAACCTTCGAAAGTGTTTTTGACACAAAATTGAGTCATAGACTCTTGCTACAGAGGAAATCAATTAGAATTCTGTGAGTTACAGATTCGATTGATTCTTGAAAAAAACTTCAAAGAAATCCTTGCAAAGCAATCAACCCAGATTTTGCATATTTCAGAGCTCAGAAAACATACTCACATATAATATGGGTTTCATTACCTTAGACCATCGGTTAGCAAACTACAACACATAGTTACGGGTCAATGTTGACCTGTAAGTATATTTGTGGAACTTGCAAACTAAGAAAGATATTTGTATGACTTTATATCACAAAAAATAGCAACAATGGAATAAGACTTTGGATCATATAAAAACTCAAATATTAGTGTCCATATATAAGGACTTTATTTATTTTTATAATACAGTATAACTCACTTGTTTACATACTGTGTATGGTTGCATTTCCACTGTAAAGGCAGATTTTGGTGGCAGTAACAGAGCTTGAATGCAAAGCTGAAAACATTTGCTCTCTGACACTTTATAGAAAAAATGTGCTGAAGGCTGCTTTACACATTGATAACTATTAGGCTAAACCATGTTCTTTGCTATATGCTTGCTTGTTCAGAAAATAAACTTATGTGTTCTAGTGATTTGTTTGATTTTCAGTTTAGGTCTGTGCATTTCTCATTATTTGTTTTTTTCATATCAAAATTAAAACCCTAGAGGTTTACATGTTAGCTTGATTTTGCTTTTGGCTGCTGCTAGGTGATAGGTGTCTTCCAAAATCCCTGTCTCCTACTACAAGCCTTTGCTAAGGCTTCACAGTGATTCTACTCTTAGTTCTTGCATGTCATGTTACTCTTCCCTGTAATACTTTTTATGTTCTTAAAATTTTACCTTGTATGTGGCCACCCATTTTCTGCTGTATGTGTTTTTATAGATCATACTTCAATGACTTGATCTCTTTTGTTGTATGAAAGATTAATAAAATGCAGGCGATAGACATCCAGCAGTGCTCTAGAGCAATTTCTGCATGTTCTGGCGATGCAAACGCTTCCCCAAGGCATATGTTACACATCCCTGTCTCGCTAGGTAGCCAATCACTCAGCACCACTTACTGTGGATTCTGATGACAGCTGTCTGCCAGGAGAAGTGTTGGGCTTTCTTTCTGCAAAAGTGAATTTCAAAATGGAGAGCTTATATTTTCAAGCCTGTGTATTTACTAGCACGATCTGGCCAAGGTTTATTAGATTGATAAATGCTCACCAAATATCTGTTTTGAGTGAAATACGCTGCTTCATTGCCTTGGGATATCTCAAAGTGTGTCAGAAAGATTAGTCAGTGTGCTACAGTCATGACACCTCAGAGAAAATACTGGAAACCTTTTTCTCAGAGGGTTTCTTAAATATTTTTGTGATTATAATTACCAATACACTTGTGGAGGAACAAGGGATTTCCTTGTTGTGCTTTTGTTGCTTTTCATAAAATAATAATTTTTGTTATGGCTCACATCAGAGATAATGAGTCTGTGAAAGATGAAGATGAATAAAGTTACAATTCTCAGTAAACTTGGATTCTGCTTTTCTACAAATTTTCCTTTGAAAAAGTGCAAGCTATGCAGTTCAAGATGTTAAGGGAAAGGTGTGGATAAATAGAATGGTTTTCTAAATGTGACATGGAACATCAATAATGCTGTAAGTCTGCATGGATTACTGGTTTGCAGTAGAAGAGG